TCATCCTGTACTATAGTTAGTTTACTATCATCTTGTAATGTAGCTAGTTTACTATCATCCTGTACTATAGCTAGTTTACTATCATCCTGTACTATAGCTAGTTTACTATCATCCTGTAATGTAGATAGTTTACTATCATCTTGTAATGTAGCTAGTTTACTATCATCCTGTACTATAGCTAGTTTACTATCATCCTGTACTATACCTAGTTTGCTATCATCCTGTACTATACCTAGTTTACTATCATCATGTACTATACCTAGTTTACTATCATCCTGTACTGTACCTAGTTTACTATCATCCTGTACTATACCTAGTTTACTATCATCCTGTACTATAGTTAGTTTACTATCATCCTGTAATGTAGCTAGTTTACTATCATCCTGTACTATAGTTAGTTTACTATCATCCTGTAATGTAGCTAGTTTACTATCATCCTGTAATGTAGCTAGTTTACTATCATCCTGTACTATACCTAGTTTACTATCATCCTGTAATGTAGCTAGTTTACTATCATCCTGTACTATAGCTAGTTTACTATCATCCTGTAATGATAGTACAGGATGATAGTAAACTAGCTATAGTACAGGATGATAGTAAACTAGCTAATGATAGTAAACTAGCTCTTGTAATGTAGCTAGTTTACTATCATCCTGTACTATAGCTAGTTTACTATCATCCTGTACTATAGCTAGTTTACTATCATCTTGTAATGTAGCTAGTTTACTATCATCCTGTACTATAGCTAGTTTACTATCATCTTGTAATGTATCTAGTTTAATATCATCCTGTACTACAGCTAGTTTACTATCATCCTGTAATGTAGCTAGTTTACTATCATCCTGTACTATAGCTAGTTTACTATCATCCTGTACTACCACCCTGTAGTATAGCTACTTTACTGTCAGCTTGTAGTATAGCTATTTTATTACCACCCTGTAGTATAGCTGCTTTACTGTCAGCCTGTAGTATAAATAATTTACTGTCATCCTTGAGTACAATTACTTTACATTCACACTTTAGAATAGGTACATTACTGCAACCTTGTTGTATGTCCACTTTACTATCAGACTGTACTTTAGCTACTTTAGTGTCAACTTGTAGTATAGCTACTTAACACTTAACCAGTAGTATAGAATAACCACTTTACTGTCATCCTTTAGAATGGCTAATTTACTATCACCATGTATTATAGTTAAACTCTCTCTGTACTATAGCTGCTTTACTGTCGTTTTTTATTATAGCTCTAGTTTTTGTCATCTTGATTATATAGTTACTCTCCATTTACACTGTACTATAATTGCTTTACTGCCAACTTGTAGTAATGCTACGTTACTTTCAGCCTGTTGGTTAATGACCCTGTAGAATAGCTACTTTACTGACACACTGTAGTATAGTTACTTTACTGTCATACTACAGTATAGCTCCTTTACTGTCATACTACAGTATAGCTCCTTCACTGTCATTCTGTAGTACTACTACATCATCATCCGTAAGTATATTCACTTTACTACTTACCATGTAGTATAGCTATTTTACACTGAACCAGTAGTGTGGCTACATTACTTTCAGTCTGTAGTATAGCTACTTTACTGTAATTCTGTAGTTCTGTTATAATACTTTCAGTCTGTAGTATAGCTACTTTAATGTAATCCTGTAGTACTGCTACATTACTTTCAATCTATA